TAACTTCGCCTCAAACGTTGAGACGGTATGGATGTCCCACTTCAAATTGACCATGATTATGAAGGATACATATATTACAACATTACTTCCTACATTTTATCACAATGGCAGTAGTTATGATTTTGCTGGACGACGTAAATGTACCTTATTTTTACCAAAATTATTATCTTAAGTTCATAAAACGGAGTGTTGTATGACCTACAATGCCCTTATTTCAGTTTGACTTTCGCATTCATTCCACATATTTTTGATTAGCGTTTAGTTACTCAAGCCTCCCGACCGTAGCTGCTACCTTGACGCGGTGGTCGGGCTTGCCTATCGTGATGACCCAACCGAGCTATATTGGCTGGAACATATGTTCCTGTAGGTTCTACCATGCCAGGCAGGTCGATTGGAGAACGGTAAGACTAAAAGCAGCAACTCAAGGTCTGAGGGCGAAGTCGTACTGCTGACTGTACAGACGTGTGACAGCAGTAAGGCGTTTCCCCCAGACAACCAGCATCTGCAGCGATGCTGCCTTCCCACAAGGACGGATGAGGTTAGAAAAGGTCGACCCTAAAACTGTCACACCTCACCTTACCCCACGGATTTCCGTCTCCTGCGGTAAGGCCCTTTGAAGAACGGAGCTAACACATTAAAAACCTGCTACGAAAATGCCGTGCGCGACCGGCCCCAAGCAGTTTTCCCTCGGGCTCCCAGGTCGTTAAGACCAACACTAATCCAATTTCTTTTTCAGGTTCCTCAAGAAGTACCCTTCCACGGTGTGGGCAGCCGGGAAGTGATATCAGCCCTCATACCCGTAACAGCACACGAGACCAAGTTGGTCACATTCAAATCCTTCCTACACCTCCTAATACCTCTCTTATCTCCATGACTAACCCTTCTCACGTCCCTTCATCACCTCGCACCGCTAAAGCAAACAATTCGAGTACGCGGAACGCTATTCCTGGTCTCCTGAAACCACGCTCTAAACTACACGTAGGAGCTTTCAACGTCCAAACACTGTGCCAAATAGGACAACAGGCTTCCTTAGCTAGGACTTCAGAATCTCGCGCCATCGATGTATGCTGCATGTCCGGAACGCACATACAGGATCCGAGTAGCGTCAATCATTTGACCTCAGCATGCCAAAATAAAGAACCAACTCGATTTACGCTTCGTGTATCTGGAAGCCCTGATTCTGCTTCCTGTGGCCTCGCCGGCGTAGGTATAGCGTTGAGTCCTAGAGGAGAACTAGCTCTCTTAGAGTGGATCCCAGTAGACAGCCGTTTGTGCGCTGTCCGACTGAACGGAACAGTAAGAATCCGGAAAGATAGGGACACTCGTCGTTGCCTCTTCGTCGTCTCTGCCTACTCTCCCACTGACTGCAGCTCAGACGATGTAAAAAATGAGTTTTACAGAAAGCTTCCTGACCTTCTCTGAAAAGCTAGGCGCTCTGATGTAGTAATAGTGGCTGGTGACTTTAATACTCAATTAGGTAAATTAAGCGAAAGGGAAAGACATCTGGGTGGATCTTATAGCATCTTGGCTCAAAGAACAGATAATGGCGACCGTTTGTTGCAGCTATGCTCAGATAACCGCCTTTTTCTTGCAAACACTAACTTTAAGCACAAGGAAAAACATGTTTTGACATGGCCATCCCCGAATTCGTCCCAATGTTGAACCCAAATAGATCACATCGCTATCAGTCATCGATGGAGGGGCTCGATAGAAGACTGTCGCTCATTCTGGAGCACATGCTTAGATTCAGATCATGCTCTAGTACGAGCGCGTATCTGTCTGCGTTTTACTGGACGTAGGAAAGATGATGCAAGGAAACCTCTTAGGGTCTTACTTAATAATAGTCAAGCTAAGAGTATATTTCAGGAACAAATAGAAAAAGTTAGGCAGCCATGTCAGTGATGCCCACCCCAAGGCAGCGTGGAATGACACCCGAAAAGCTGTGGAAACAGCAGTGATATCTGCAAGTACGGCAAACCACAAGGTTAGGGAGCAACACTGGATCTCAGCAGCATCTACCGCATTGATAGATGCTCAAAACTCATTCCATCTGGCTCTGAATATAACGAAGAGTGGAGTCAGCTTAGGCGCAAGCTGACAAGAAGCCTACGCACTGATCGCGAACATTGGTTGGTAGCGAGAGCAAGAGAGATGGAAAAGGCAGTGGCAATAGGTAACAGCAGACAATTGTTCAGACTTGTTAAGGAAACCGGTATCAGGAACCCGACTGTTAGCGAAACTATCTCAGAAAAAGATGGACGTATTATACATTCTCAATCCAGGAGATTGGATTGATGGACAGAACACTTTAGGGATCAGTTCAACTGGCCTTCAGCCACATTTCGGTTTCCCTACGATCTTCAGTCTACCTGAAGGGCAAGTTAATGTAGGTCCTCTGACTCTTTACGAAGTTGAAAAAGCCATAGGAAATCTGAACGAAGGGAGAGCAGCAGGCCCTGACAGTTTTACTCCTGAAATTTTTGAGGATGCTGGTACAGTATTAGCAGTGAGATTAACTGAGATCTTTTTTAGAATTTGGGAACTGGAAGTAATCCCATCTCACTGGTCTCAATCGCTGATTGTGCCAGTCTATAAGAAAGGACAAAAGTCCTCTTACGACAATCACAGAGGAATCAGTTTGACTAATGTAGCGTCTAAAATATTAGCTTCAATAATACTTCGACGCCTAACCAAAGTTCGTGAAGGGCAGACTAGAGAAAACCAAGCTGGTTTTCGACCTGGACGTGGTTGTATAGACCAAATATTCACACTACGTCAGGTTCTAGAACACAGACACACGTTCAGACGCCCCACAATGATAGTATTTCTCGACCTTAAGAGGGCATTCGACTCTGTTGATCGTGAGGTTCTATGGCAGTGTTTGTCACTGAAAGGAGTACCAAAGAAGTACATTAACCTTATAAAGGCTCTCTACTCGAACACAACTGGTCGAGTGAGAGCTTATGGCGAACTGTCATCAGAATTGATTTCCTCAAGTGGTGTTCGTCAGGGCTGTTCACTCTCCCCATTCTTGCTCAACTTTGTGGTCGACGTACTTTTAGAGATAACACTCTCCTCATCTAAATTTCCAGGGGTTGAACTTTTACCGGGAGGTTCACTTGTTGACTTAGAATATGCTGATGACATAGTTTTATTTGGTGAAGACGCTGACAAAATGCAGTCTTCTGACCACTCTAAGCAACAATGCAAGCATGTTCGGGATGCGATTCTCTCCCTCGAAATGCAAAATGTTGCTTCAGGATTGGGTTACATCGACACCCGAACTAGTGATAGGGAGTGAAGTAGTTGAGCGTGTCGACCACTTCACTTATCTTGGAAGTCTCATCAGCCCTTGTGGTCTGGTGTGTGACGAAATCTCAGCACGGATACAGAAGGCTCGACTAGCTTTTACCAACTTGCGTCATTTATGGCGTAGGCGAGATATCCGTCTATCAACTAAAGGACATGTTTACTGCGCAGCAGTTCATTCCGTTCTACTTTATGGCAGTGAAACATGGCCAGTAAGAGTAGAGGATATTCGTAGATTACTAGTATTCGATCATAGGTGTCTTCGAAATATTGCTCGTATATCCTGGGACCATCGAGTAAGTAATGCAGTTGTTAGGAGACGGGTACTAGGTAAGGATGGCAAATCGATTGATGAAGTGGTGAAACTTCATCAGTTAAGATGGCTGGGACACGTGGTACGTATGTCCAACGACCGACTGTCTCGTTGTGCGATGTTCAGTGGTATAGAAATAGGTTGGAAGAAAGCTAGAGGCGGCCAGACCAAAAAATGGCATAAATCCATGAAGTCACTGACAAGTGAACTGAGCCATGTTGGTAGGTGAAGACTACCTGGCTGGGGACCGCGAGATGATAGCAACCGATGGTTAGAGACCCTGAATGACATGGCTCAAAATCGTTTGCGATGGCGCACGTGAATACACTCTTTGCGTTCTCCCAAATTCTAATCTTCTGAATTCTTCATGTCCTTTTTTTCTTTCCAAATTTATTTCACTGGATTATACTCCTTGAATAACATCTCCAAACCCTAATCTTTCCGATTACTACTTAGACTCTTACAGCATCTACCACTACGGGATTTGCATCGACAACTGCATCTCTGTGCTAATGTGGTATAGCAACTCGAACTGATGTACGTACGTACGAAGTTCTACGTTGTTACTGACTGAGTTACTTAAGCCTAGTGTATTCACCTTGGATTTCGGCAGACAATGAGCTCAAACTAATCGATCGGTGGCTCTTTATTATTACATAATTTATGAATAGGTTTGCTTTTTCGACAAAATACATAGGTAAACGACCACCCATTATCTTCGATTACTCGTTGACTGGGTCTAGTTTTATCTAAGATGACAAATAAGGTTTAAGTGTAGCCCGGATAAAACAAATACACCGGAAGTATCTACTGAAGGCATGAATTCCCCCGACCACGTGAATATGATACCTAAAGTAACACTCGTTGACTATTATTAAAATAATTTTTAACATGGACATCATGTTATCTATCGGTAGTATACGGACAACACGGCCCAGTTTCTTAAAAATGTTGGCAACAGCCAATCCTATAACATCTTGAAGAACAACCAGAATTTTCGGAATGCATATTTCACTCTTAAATTAAAAGTATTATTTTGTGATTAGTTTATTTCATTGTCTCACCTAATGACAAGCTAATTAGTTTTCGATTTACACTCGTGGAAGAAAATTGATCGCTTTAACTATCAAACCAATACCATTACTGAACGAAATTTGAAGTTGATCCCCTCTTGGGTAAAACCATTAGAAGGATCAATGAACACTGATTATTAGGTCGACGAATTTGCAGCATATGGTAGTAGTACTATCACAACTACTAAATGGTTTATCTCACGCAACTTTACCGAGGAATCCAGTGCACATCTAACCACAAATAAATAAAAGAACTAACGTCAATTTAATGACTAACACGAAGTATTTATTTACAAAATTCTTACCGACCAGAAAAGTCACGAAATATCATCAGTGAAACCACAAAGAAAAAACATAGTCAGTAGAGATCATTTTGTCTATTCCAAGCAAACGAACAAGAGCTTAGTTTATAATGTTCCATTTACGACCTGGAAAAAAACAAATAGTATTGAAACGCAAAAGCTGTTTAACAGACCAGAATAAAACAAGGGTGAAATATTCACGGTAACCTAACACTAATATGTACTACGTTTTTACGCTTACATCAAGGGAAAATTAACGACGAAGCCGTAATATATATATCGGCGAGACTCTAATTTAGGGACGAGCCAATCAGAAGCGTTTGAGCAATTTCAGGGTCACGGAGCCAAGTTCAACACGCGCTGCTAACATACGATTGGTTCACAGCGGATTTTAGAGAGTAGGTGATTAATGAGAGGTTACAACAGATAGGACGGCGAGACTCTAATTTAGGGACGAGCCAATCAGAAGCGTCTGAGCAATTTCAATTATTAGTCAATCAGAAGACAGCATAAAGTAAAAATATATTAAAAGAAAGTAATAAATTACAGTGGATATTCTTCTTTGACATGATTTAAAAACTCGTATGTTAGCATCCTAACCCTGACCTTAACCCTCACCTAACTCTAACCCTAACCCTAAACCTTAACCCTCAACTAACCCTAACCCTAACTCTCACCCTAAACCCTCACCTAAACCTTAACCCTCAACTAACCCTAACCTAACCCTAAACCTTAACCCTCAACTAACTCTAACCCTAACGAGTTTCTATTCCATATGCATTGTGAATTCAGAACCTCTGAACCTTAACCAAACCTTAACCAAACCTTAACAAGTTTTTAAATCATGTAAAAGAAGAATCTACACTGTAATTCATTACTTTCATATAATATGTTTTCACTTTATACTAAATTTCTTCTGATTGGCTAATAATTGTCAAGGTCACTTAAGATTCAATCAAAGGTCGTCCTTAAATTAGAGTCTCGCCTATATATCAATACAAGACTCGAATGGATATGAAGCAAAGAAATGTATGCAACCTAAGGGATATTGGTAGTCTCAAGACCTAGTAGAAAACTAGTGCAGATGAGTTACATCGACTGAATTTGAATTATATCTAAACTCTGGTGATAAATAAGTATAGAAGCAGGTATGAACATATGCGTATCCAAGATGAGAAAGAATGAAATGATTTACAAAGTGATTACATTACCTCAAAATACCTATCAGCAGTGTGAACATATACGTTAACGTTGGAAAAACACTAACTTGAAACCAGATCTCGCAAAAATGGTTATTTGAAAAACCCTGAAAAGATATATGGTACCATGTAAGTCATTCCAGTACCCTGGGGGAACTTCCCCATAACGAACCAAAAAACTGTATTCCTTATCTATATATTTCAATGAGATAAAACTCACGATCTAAAGGATTTTGCTGGTACACTAAGCCAGTTAGGCTACAATAAAACAAAACTCGAGCAAATATTGGGCGAGAAATGAGCCTACTTTCTCTGCTTTGGTTAAGCCGTTAAAATACATCTGAAATTCTTTGGGAAATTTAGACCGACAGTAAGGGGAGCTTTTCTGAATAAATATTTTGAATCAAGTGGCTGCTGATCATATATTAACTACGTTTTAACCAAGACAGTTTGAATCAACATAAATGAGCTGGTTACCCGACAAGCGCATTTGCTAATGACATGGTATCATCAGGTTTATACTTTTATCAATGGGACTCCTGAGAACATACTTGAATGGAATTCACCAAATAGTCCGACCCCCGGTGATATTAGTGAACCTAGGATTAAATGAGAAGGAAATTTAGCTTGACTTACATAGGAATACTGTCAGGTACAAGGCTGGGTTCAGGAGATGCATAGTCCTGAAGAGACAATGGTAGAACAGGGAGAGATATGTGACATTCTATGTTTACAGGGTCGTCTCTGTTTCTTCAGGAAAATTAGCGTAATGAGAATATTACTGCAGAATTACATTTGTATTTGAAAATCCTCTTCTTCATTCAGAATAGACGCTACCTCGCAGACTATTGAGCATGGCTTAGTCACTACTGAAGCGTACTCAACTGGAAGTGAACTCAAAGGTTCTACTTGTACACAGCATGCTGTTAGAGGGATAAAATGACCAGCGTCAGTAAATTTTGTGGGAGCTACGAGAAATTATTTTCGTGTATGTACGATTACCAAGAGCAGACAAACTTCGACACCTTCCCTTCATGGGTGACTTTTTCATACATGATACTCGACTATAGCTTTTTGACGGTGAGAACTTATCCTGAGTAGTAAACCCATACCTGACCATAACCGTCCAGACCTTAAGTATCCCGCCACGGCCCAAGGGCGGAGGTATAAGACGTTTAAATTGTCATGCCTTTCAATTAACATTAATAAGGATGGGAGGTCTATCGACCTATATTAATCCTTGCAGTATGTGGCACTGAAAAGGTCCGATCTTCTTTCGAATATATCAACAGAATGTGCCGATATTACGTGTTCCGGTAGAGAATTTCAGTATACGATAATCCAATGTTGGATCACTCCGTATTCTACGGTATGATAATGGAAACAAGATGAAGTGTCTTAGGCCTTTAAACATCTCAGTCCCTCGTCGTTGAACTCGTTCCAGTATATCCGCCTCATACTTGAAACTAGGACTCACTGCTTGAATCACTTATCCAAAATGTGGTCTCATGAATGTTGGTATATTACTCTAGAGGTTTCATCATACGAATACTGGAAAGACCTACGAATCGACCATAACAGCCCATAGCCTATTGCAGCAGCAGCTTTACAGTGACTGGTAGTTTTCAGCTCACTACTTTTTATGACTCAAATTTTTATTGTTTCTTACTTTGGTTAACACGAATCCACATATTGCGTTGAAATATGATTCACCATAGTTATTTAATTGCATCACCACAAACTTGTCAAAATTTGTCTTGAAATGAAGTGTGTGTGGAACAATATGAAAGTTAAGCTCAGCACGATCTCTTCTTCATGTCTAGTCATTATACAGTAGCAAACAAATCATCAAAACGAATAGTCCTGTAAGTCTGCGACACTTGATGCTGACCTCATTAGTTTTACTGAACACACGTAGCTGAAGACGTTCCGTCACTCATCTGTACCAAATCACCAGTTGTTACGCCGTGTTACATATCCCTTGCAACTGCTAGTCAGCTTGAACTAAACACTTCTCGACATTTCAACAACCTTCTAAATATTTCTTCCAACCACTTCATCTCTGACTTCTGACTTGGTTGGTATACTTCCATTATTAAGGCGTTACGTGTAAAACCATTATCAAATTCCGATCAAACAATCATCTACGTATATGTGTATGCAGTCGACTGAACAATCTAGAATAGCCTCTGCTTTGCTTTTCAGAGGGTGGATTCCTCGAGCATCAGTAGTGTGTCCGAGAAAATCTAAAAAGTCGTTTCCGGTTTGACACTTCTGAGTGTTTACAGTAATTCCCTGTTTTTGCAGTCGTTCGAAAATAAAGTACGGATGCTGCATATGAGGTTCTCTGTTTGGACATGCGCAAGCCGTCATCTAAGTATATGTGTACGTAGTTGAGACCCTGGAAATATCGTCGATGAATTGCTGAAAGTCTGTGAAGCATATCTCTAAACGGTAAGGCGTGCTCAAAATTTTGTAGTGTTCGGATGGTGGTAATGTTAGTGGCCTAAGGAATATCGTCTGAAGCAGTGGTAATTTGATATGATTTGACCGAAAAACAGTTGTACCATTTCTGGTTACTGTCAGGTCGAGGATGTACGCAAGTGGTAACAATCGTATTCAGTCGCCGATAGTCACCAAGTAGACGGCAAGCTTTCGAAAGAACAGGTGGTTCTCTGGCTGCGATGTTTTGTGTAATATCGCTAGTTCTTGAAGGTAACTTCAGTTGCGTTTGAAATAGTTTGTGGTACTTACTGAGGATCCATTGGTAGAATCGGTTAGTCACATGCCAAACATTTACTGGGTACGATATACAGCCAGAAATTAAAGTCCCATAAACAGATAACATAGTATTGTCGTCTACTAACCATTGTTTGCTAGGGTCGACGAGTTATTTATGGTGTTGTAGTAGGTCTATACCACTGACTGACATAGAAACACTTAAAAAACGAAAATTCAGTGAATAGGTTTGCGCAAACCTACGCTTAAATGCTCATTCCACTTGTCGTATGTGGCAATCGGTTTCCCATTTGCCTTCAGTAAGTTGAAAACTGGTTCATGCAGATGGTCGTTGGAATTCGCGGAAAGAACGGCTACTTCTGCTCCAGTACCGACTAATTAGTGAACTTTCACATTCATGTCAATGATGTAAAATAGGTTGGTATGTTCACTGGGCACTATCGCCGTTATTGCGTGCCGGCGGGGAAGATCCCCGAAAGGTTTCTTGCGTCGGACGGCCTGGAGACTGGAAAACTGCAGGGTTTACTGCAATTTCTAAAAGACTTATAATATTTGTTGTAGTACTAATACTAGTCAGGATTATCTGTCTCTCGTGGACTAGAGACAGATCTTTTACGTGATGAGGTCATTGGTGCGTTTACGCTTATCATGAACATCAAGATAACAAATGAGAGTATGACAGAGGTACGCAGCGTCATTTTGTGTTCTTTGACAGAATAAATCTCGGCGCTGGGGTCCTATCGATCTCCAGAATCCGGTCGGCTTATGAAGTTTTTTTGAAACGGGACAGAAACCGCCCGCATTTTAGGAGATGCTTAGATAAGAAGAGTTGTCCAAACAGGAGCTCGCTGAAAGTCCGTTGACCAATGACCTCTCGCGTGCGTAGTCACATTTCTATTACTGAGCCACGTTGCTGGTTCAGCCTTTGTTGGTCCGTTAGGTCTCCACGTTCAAGGACAGCCTTCGTTAAAGTGATATGAGATTCATAAACATTACTAGTGAATATACTAGATGTACCGTACCCGTTAAAATCGCCCAGTAGTTCCCCCAATATTGTGATGTTTTGTGCACATGGGTCTATCACGCTGTGCTCTAGGAAGTCAACTTCTGTGTAGAAGAAACAGGCTTCGATATCACCAGGTCAGAATGGCATAAGTTTAAAAATAGGAGGCCAAAGAGTCAAACGCAAACAGCTTTGATGTCTGTTTCGTCATAACGAAGCTAAGGTATAGAAATATGTTGGATAAAATATCCGCAAAATACAAAAACAATATCACTTGATGTAAAGATAAAAATTAAAGACTGATACTTGATGTTTCGTCAAAATATAGACTCACAGTTTATTGTTCGGTTTATCAAATGACATTGGGCTCACCACTAAAGTGCTACAGATAGTCGGAGTTTGACGCCTTAATAATGGAAGTATACCAACCAAGTCAGAAGTCAGAGATGAAGTGGTTGGAAGAAATATTTAGAAGGTTGTTGAATTGTCGAGAAGTGTTTAGTTTGTAGCGGTAAATAAATCCCCAAAATAAATAGCACTGTAAGTTTTCGACATTGGATGCTGACCATATGTTTTAGTGGACTCATCTAGCTGAAGGCGCTCGGTCAGGCATCCGCACCAGATCACGTGTGGTAACGCCGTGCTCAACATCTACCGCAATCGCTAGCCAGATTAGATCAGAGAATTCCGATATATTGGTCATCGCCAAATATACTCTTCCGATCTCCTCGACTCTGTCTTTTGATTTCTCTGGGTGGGAACGAAATATATTAGAAGGTGTTACTGGTAAAAGCGTTGTCAAACACTGAATACCAGTGACATCATCATTGGTGAGACCGACGTGATCTGGTACACCTTATTGCAACTGTGAGTCTGTTCCTTTCTGGGATTTTTATATATCATTGCCTTATTTTTTATTTTTTTTTAAACATTGTGATTTTTTTTCGTGTTTTTTCTTGGATATATATATATTTTCCACTCGTTCATTATCGTACTTCATACTTCATCATGACTGAACAGACACCTAAAGTACTCAAGCTTAAGACTTTGTCCCCGCCTTCGTTTCAACTGATGCCTTTCTGGCCCGACAACATCGAAGCCTGGTTTTGCTACGCAGAAGCCGACTTCTCCGAGCACGGCGTGATCGACACACGTGCACAATTCCTCGCAGTAGTCAGGGCACTACCGCGCGAATTCAACAGGTACGTAACACCTAGTATGTTTACTAGTGATGTTTCCGATCCTTACGAAATCTTAAAACGCTCGATTCTTAAACGAGGAGACCTAACCGATCGACAAAGGTTAGATCAACTCTTCAATAACATCGACCTGCAACGGACATGTTGCAACGGATGAGAGAGGTAATAGGCCCAAGAACTTTCGACGAAGGTCTATTCAAACAACTCTTCTTGTCAAAACTTCCCCAACAGGTGCAAGCAGTTCTGGTCTCGTTTCAGAACAACGCCTTAGACGAACTGGCTGCATCTGCCGACCGCATTTTAGAAATTACGAAATCTACTACCGAGGTATTTTCAGTCAAAGAAAAACCTCAAACGATTCAGAACGATATAACCGAATTATGTCACACACTCACGCGTTATCTTAGTCTTCGTACCGACCGTAAGAGATCGCGCACCCCACGTAGAAGCATGTCACGTAAGCGATCTGTCTCTAGACCACGAGAGACAGATAACCCCGACTGGTGCTGGTATCATAACCAGTATGGAAAGTTTTCCAGAAATTGCAGAAAACCCTGCAATTTTCCCAACACGAAACCGAGTGACTCGAAAAACAACTCGGGAAACTTCCAAGCCGGCACGCGTTAACGGCAACCGTAGCCGGCGAACAAAGCCATCTGTTATACGTCACAGATGTGACAACGAGAGTTCGCTACCTCGTCGACACTGGCGCAGAAGTTAGCGTTCTCCCAGCAAATCCTAACGACCGGCTTCACGAATCGACCCTAAACTTACAGGCGGCAAACGGAAAACCGATCGCTACGTATGGCAAAAGGTACGTTTACCTTAACGTGGGTTTACGCAAACCCATCCACTGGATTTTCGTTATTGCAGATGTTTCTATGCCAATCATTGGTATGGACCTTCTACAACACCACAATCTGATCATCGGCACGCGCAAACGGAGGCTAGTAGACGGAAACACTAATTTGTCCGTTTGCGTAACTTCCTTTTCTGGTTCGACCCACTTTATCAGCCACTACTCGATAAGTACCCTGGGATACAACAAACTCAACCGGAACTACCGTGTGTAACCAGCAATGTTACACATCACATCACGACTACAGGACCACCTGTATTCTCTAAAGCACGACGACTAGCTCCTGAAAAGCTAAGGTTAGCGAAAAACGAATTTGGCCATATGATAGACTTAGGAATCATACGACCGTCAAGTAGCCCATATGCATCTCC